TGTCATTGCTTCATAACAAAGGTCTATGTTGACATGACTGCATCACATCATTTCTGCAGATTTGTCAGCTGCACATTCATCCTGTTGTAGCACATCACAAAGGTCTTCTCCTGGATGCAGGTCTTGGTACTGGGGAGGCCACTGAAGGTCACTGAACTCACTGACATGTTTGTGACATGGAGCATGATCCTGCTGGAAGGAGCCATTAGAAGATGGTGACCTGTGGACATGAAGGGATGAGAACATGAACTGAAGCTCCTCAGCTGTATCTGCAGGGTTTCATGCACTGCTGCTACATGATTGGCTGTTTGGATAATTGCTCGAATAGGCAGGTGTAAAGGTGTTCCTAATAAAGTGAGTGTCTTTATTGTTAACTGAAAGCTTGATGGCTGAATAGATTTGGACAGCCTTGAATGAAAAATGGCAAATGTAAAAAAAAAAAAAAAAAAAAAAGAAAAAGAAGAAAAAGAAGACGTGGCATTGGACTTTTCCTCTCCATCTCTCCCCATCCGCCATCTTTTTTTTCCTTAGCTAAGGTTCACATTCCTCTTTGATGCTTCCTGTCCAAATGGCCAGAGGACAATTCACTTGACTCTTTAAGCATGTGCCTGTTCAGGAGCGAACACACGGCAATTATCACACTGATTTTCAGGGATTACATTTGACAGTGTGGCCTGAGGGACACACGGGATATCCTCGTTGCTTGTTAGCTCTTAGTGTTTTTGTCGACCCCTGTGCTACAGAAGCAACTGTGTTTCATGAAGTGTGATGGACTCTATGTGGGAGAGAGGTGAGGAGAAGGGCGACTGTGGTGACTCATGTTGAGGGAATGTGGAGGAAGAACGGCTCTCTCTCTCTTTGGTCACCAGGATGTTTATTCAAGCCCGGTTGGATGGAGGAGGAGCTGATTGTGGAACGATTTACTACAGGAACGTTTACACTTTTACCTGATTCATCTTCGTTTCACACATATACAGTTGAGTACACACCTTCTAATTCAAAGGGTTTTCCTTATTTTTATTATTTTCCACATTATAGAACAAACGGAAAACATCTGAACAATGAAATAACACACATGGAATGATGTAGTGTAAACAAAGATTATAGATTTTAGACTCTTCAAAGTGGCAGTCGGAAGGAGTTCATATATGTTGAGCACTTGTTTGCAGCTTTTCTTTCACTCTGTATCCAACTCATCCCAAACTGTCTCAACTAGGCTTAAGTCAGGTGACTGTGGAGGCCAGGTCATGTGATGCAGCACTCCTTCACTCCTCTTCTTGGTTAAACAGGCCTTACAGAGCCTGGAGTTGTGTGTTGGGTCATTGTCCACATACACACACACACACACACTCGCCATCAAATCTCCTCCAGGCTTCACGGTGGGAACCACTCATGCAGATACCATCCGTTCCCCTTTTCTGCGTCTCACAAAGACACAGTAGTTGGAACCAAAGTCTAATGTCCAGTCCTTGTGTTTCTTAGCCCAAGAAATTCTCTTCTTCTTCTTGGCCTCCCTCAGTTTACAGCAGTTCGACCATGAGGCCTGATTCACACAGTATCGTCCAGACAGCTGATGTTGAAATGGGTCTGCTGCTTGACCTCTGAAACATTCATGTCGGCTCAAATCTGAGCTGCTGTTAATTGGCGATTTCCGGAGGCTGGTAACTAATGACATTCTCCTCTGCAGCGGAGGTCAGTCTTGGTCCTTTCCTGGGTTGGTCCTCATGAGAGGCAGTTTCATCACAGCGTTTGATGCTTTTTGCAGATTAATTTGGATTCATTCAGTCATTCTGACTGAGCCTCATGTCTTAAAGTTATAATCTATAAAAACAACTAGACCTTTGTTCTATTATGTTGTTGAGTTGAGTTCTTACATTATCACAAATGTTTCCATCAATTCTCAAACCAGAGGAATCTATGATTTTAATCATGGTAACGTTTCATTGGTCACCTGTCAGTGACATCATATCCTCTATGATCATGTGTCAGTGTGTTTGTCTGACAGAAGCTCAACATTGTGTTTTATCTAGTATCTACTTTTTACACCTTTCAGCTCTATATTTGAAGCAGATGAAGGAATGATGGGTTGTTATTTCTCTTTACTTCACTGATCAGTTCTTGACGTAATATGTATTAGTGCAGTTCTCCAATAGAGCTATTTACTATACACCGACATTACAACAACACAACTGATGGTGTCAAACACATCAAGAAGGCAACAAATTCCACTAATTAACTTTTGACAAGGCACACCCATTAATTGAAAAACATTCCAGGTGACAGCCTCATTAAGTTCGTTAAGATAATGGCAATATTGTGCAAAGCTGTGGCTACTGAAGAATGTGAAATATGAAACATGTTGTTTTTTTTTTTTACACTTTTTTGTTTACTACATGATCCCATATGTTATTTTATAGTTCTGGTGATCTATTGTTCTTGTGTGTGTGTGTGTGTGTGTGTGTGTGTGTGTGCGCGTGTGAGTGTGCGCGTGTGAGTGTGCGTGTGTGTCTTAAAATATGTCTTTTTAAAAATCTTTTCAGGATAAGCGGTGTAGCTCATGGATGGCATCAGTAAACTCAGTTCAGTACACTCAGAGGTGACTTGGTCTGCTATGACCAGTCGTGTATGGAGGCTAATTTTAGAAGTTAGCAAACTCACTCACAAACACACTACGTCAATATTTCTATGTAATCAGTTCATCACTGAATCTGTTTGCTTACCTTTCTCTACTTGTGCTACTGTTACACAGCAAATCATTATTAGTGGTTCAAGCATGTAGTGGAAATGTTTCATTGTGTTGTTGAACTGTTTGCTATTGACTGTAAATTCTTGTGTCTCTTTGGAAGGTGCCGAGTCCCACCCATATATGGCTTTCAGTGTCCACCATATTGTATTGTCTGCTATTTGAATTATACTGAACAAAACATTTTTCATGAGTTGTAATGATAAATAATGAAATAGAAATAAAGATAAAATACTTTCTAAGCTCACGATAGGCTTCTTTCTCTTACATTTTGTTCTCAAATCTCTTCAAATCCATGTTAGTCAGCATTACTCCTTTGCATAGATAATTTATCCACCTGACAGGTGTGGCATATCCAGATGTTGATTACAGAGCATGATTGTTGTGCAGGTGTGCCCTGGGCTGGTCACAATAAAACGTCACTCTAAAATGTGTAGTTTAATTTGGAAAGTTATTAGACATTTATTGTAATGTGCAGTGTTTTTGACATGTTATAACATGTTTTCCACACGTGTTCCACATGTTATAACCTGTGGTAACATGTTTTCCACATGTGAAAAGTTGAGTACATGTGATTAAAGGTAGGAAACACATGGGAAAAACATGGGGAATTCATGTGGTTTTTCAACAAGCGATTTCCTATTTATGCTTGATTATGTTGATTATGAGAGTGGCTGCAATTTAACACAAGTTACATGGTCCTCATTTGAACTTTTTGCAATGGAGAGGGTGTGTGTCTGTGTGTGTGTGTGCGCNGTTTTTTTTTTTTACACTTTTTTGTTTACTACATGATCCCATATGTTATTTTATAGTTCTGGTGATCTATTGTTCTTGTGTGTGTGTGTGTGTGTGTGTGTGTGTGTGTGCGCGTGTGAGTGTGCGCGTGTGAGTGTGCGTGTGTGTCTTAAAATATGTCTTTTTAAAAATCTTTTCAGGATAAGCGGTGTAGCTCATGGATGGCATCAGTAAACTCAGTTCAGTACACTCAGAGGTGACTTGGTCTGCTATGACCAGTCGTGTATGGAGGCTAATTTTAGAAGTTAGCAAACTCACTCACAAACACACTACGTCAATATTTCTATGTAATCAGTTCATCACTGAATCTGTTTGCTTACCTTTCTCTACTTGTGCTACTGTTACACAGCAAATCATTATTAGTGGTTCAAGCATGTAGTGGAAATGTTTCATTGTGTTGTTGAACTGTTTGCTATTGACTGTAAATTCTTGTGTCTCTTTGGAAGGTGCCGAGTCCCACCCATATATGGCTTTCAGTGTCCACCATATTGTATTGTCTGCTATTTGAATTATACTGAACAAAACATTTTTCATGAGTTGTAATGATAAATAATGAAATAGAAATAAAGATAAAATACTTTCTAAGCTCACGATAGGCTTCTTTCTCTTACATTTTGTTCTCAAATCTCTTCAAATCCATGTTAGTCAGCATTACTCCTTTGCATAGATAATTTATCCACCTGACAGGTGTGGCATATCCAGATGTTGATTACAGAGCATGATTGTTGTGCAGGTGTGCCCTGGGCTGGTCACAATAAAACGTCACTCTAAAATGTGTAGTTTAATTTGGAAAGTTATTAGACATTTATTGTAATGTGCAGTGTTTTTGACATGTTATAACATGTTTTCCACACGTGTTCCACATGTTATAACCTGTGGTAACATGTTTTCCACATGTGAAAAGTTGAGTACATGTGATTAAAGGTAGGAAACACATGGGAAAAACATGGGGAATTCATGTGGTTTTTCAACAAGCGATTTCCTATTTATGCTTGATTATGTTGATTATGAGAGTGGCTGCAATTTAACACAAGTTACATGGTCCTCATTTGAACTTTTTGCAATGGAGAGGGTGTGTGTCTGTGTGTGTGTGTGCGCGTGCGCGTGCGTTTGAACCATGTGTTTATCGGATCTTGTCTTGGCCTGTGGAAATGTTCTCATTTTTTGAGTGACTGTATTTGTTGATGTTTCCTAAATCATCTTGATAAGACACTGATTAGAATGACTGTTGTTGTATAACCATGCTACCCCACCCTGGAGCTGTAACGCTCACCATGCTCATTGTTTGAAACACAATGTGATACACAATGAGCATTACAGTCATTGCACACACACATCCGTGTTCAATGTCTAAATATGAAAAATGCCTAACACCACAATGTAGAACATTTCTTGAACTTAGTGACCCTACTTTCCTAACTCTGTGTGTGTGTGTGTGTGTGTGTGTGTGTGTGTGTTGCAGCTCGGACTGGGGAGGTTATCGGGGAGTTTGGACATCTGTATGAGCAGCAGTACGCAGTGGCTCTCTTCAACAATGTTCGCCTTGACATAGAAGGAGGAGGTGGCCCTCAACCTCAGCTACTACACCGCAAGGTACCGAAACCCCCCCCCCCTTCTCTGTAAGACAGGTTCCACTTTACTCTACACTGGTGTTGTTTTCACCTTGTGAGTCATGATGACAAAATGTGTTCCTGGAGACTCATACTGCAGCAGGGATTACTTTATATTGGCAGGTGTTCATATGTCTGTGAACAGATTTTGCAGCCGTGGAAGATGCACTGTGTGCTTGAGATCAAATTCAGGAATCAGAACCAGACTACTTTATGGATCCCCCGGGGGGGAAATTAGGTTAGGTTACAGTTGCTCCCTTAGCAAGGAATAGAGAACAGCAAGTGGATACAAAGGTAAAGATACAAAGATAAAGATAACATATGATGTAAAATATAAAAATATGTACTTATGCTATAATATATAAATAAAAAAATAAAAATATGTAAGGATATGAGTTTAAAATTGCTCTTGTCTGAAAGTGTAAGAATTGCACAGTTCATATAATTTAAGATTATAAGCCTAAGTATAGATTAGTAAATTATAATGTGACGTCTGCTGCTGGTGAGATAAGTTCAAGGGCCAGTCTATTGGCTCTGAGTGTCAGACGCTCTGAGGGACAGGGTGTAGAGTTTGATGGCAACAGGGAGGAATGACTTCCAAATTGTCTGAACCATTGGAGTCATGTGACCCTGAGCCTTTCAGAGGGTGGGCCTATACGCTCACTACGCATGGTGTGTAGCGCTCCGCAAATTACGCAAGGACAACACCTCCTCCTCATGTTAAAGCAGGTGTCAGTGTTTACAACTGTGATGAGAGGATAAAGTGCAACTATCACAAAAAGAGTGAAAAACACCATGACAGTAATCAGGTGACCTTGTTCTCTCCAAGTTTGATGTCACTTAATAACAGGGGGGTAACGTTAAGATGCTATCTTAGCAGTGACAACTATGTCTACATTTTCAGAAAGAATTATTTGTCTCCTTTTTACGGTTTGGCCGTGAGCTTGAGTTAAAAATAAAAATAAAGGTTATTTTTTACTGCTTCACACACTCTAGCCAACTGACGCTGTCACTCTAACTTTGAAGAAAAAGTGATTTCCACTCCTCCTTTGAGTGCTCATAGTTTGAAAAGTTTACATGTTATGTAAAAACAGTTGTTGTGTTTTGGAGAGAGCAGAAGTTTTCCTCCGTTTTATAGTTTGAATCACATTTCTATGTGCAGGTATGAGGGAGCTGGGTGACTCAGAAAAAAGGGGAAATTTTGTAGAAAAAAGGTAAAATTTTGTGGGTTTTTAAAGAAAATTCCAATGCATTCCTAATGCATTATTTATTCCCAGTATTTTTGGAATAACTTTGGGAAAAATTGGAATTTTAACACCAAAAGTCATAGCACCTCTTTCGGGATCAAGACGCATGTTTTGATGTATATATTACCGGGGGTTTCTCAAAGCTGCGGACAAGTTACGCGCCCAAAATTTGGCGGAAGAATAATAATAAACCCCGAAGGAGCAGCTATTGTAGCTGTAGAGGAGTGCCTCAGAGCTGAGCACCCATGGCACTAATTATGATGATTGTCACTAATATCAAATATTAAGAATTTTAGTAAAACTTAGCCTCAGTGCAGCAGGGCGGTACAGTGAATACTTCCTGGTGCTATAGAGATGCTGGAAAACCTCATATGAAGAATTTTTTTTTCTTTGACCATTGACCAAACCCTAAAAAACACATAATAGTGTGTCGTGATTGTAAATAGCTTCATCTGCTCTGTACAGTCTGTTGACACACACTGACTCACACACTGAAGTTACGTCTGGAGTCTGGTTCAAGAGTCTGCCAAGGAATGCAGTCAGCTCCCTTGAGGGAAATAATGCTAATTGACTAATGGATTCATTAGAGATGTGCATTTTTATAAAACACTGGCTGGCTGTTTCCCTGCTTCTCTAGCAAAAAAGGAATTCTTAAATGATCTGACCTGCATATGTGTCTGTTTGCCTCTGTGGATTATAAGGTTTGAGCTGAAATGTGCGTTCCACAGATTCCTCTGGAAAACAAGTCCATCTTCTCTGGCTCACTCTTCCAATACCTGGAGGAGAACAAGAAATGGAGGAGCCACTTCCTCTTCGTCCCAGACTCCTATAACATCAACTATTATGACAACAAAGCGGTAAGAGCGGGAGAAACGGTCCATACAGTCTGTTCTTAGTTGATGCCAGATTGATTAACTCTGCTCCCTATCTTATCTACCAGTCCCATGACAGACGCCTCCATCCCAAAGGAACCATCAACTGTGCTGGCTACAGAGTGCTGACATCTATGGAGCAGTACCTGGATCTGATTAGCAGTAGCCTGCCTGGTAAGGAGTTGGAGGAGGAGCAGGAGGTGGATGAGGATAGAAGGGGAGGTGGGGAGGGGAGAGGAGGGGAGGGGAGTTGATGAGGCTGAGGCTGAGGCTGTTACATTCATGCTGGTAAATTTACACAGGATATTTTTATGTCACTTTATATCATAGCCAGTGGTTTCTAACACAATTGTTATTCTCTGGATCGGCACACAAATTGTACAAACCCATAGACCAACATCAATAATTTAACGCCGTATAATAATTAAACCCCATATAATAATTTTTTAAAAACTGGCACAAATCAAGGATGAACTGATTAGATGTTGATGGTCAAAGGTCGCGCTGACCTCACAAAATATGTAGATAAATAAATAAAGTATCGCGATTTTGGGCTTGTGAACGCAACATGTACGTAATGCCTTGAAGGAATTTCTTTTAAATTTGGTAAAAACGTTCACTTGGAAGCTTATTAGATCTTTATGGCCAAAGGTCAAAGTCACAGTGACCTCACAAAACATGATGTTGTCCTTGTGAATGTGATATCTCTAGAACTCCTGAAGGGAATCCCTTTGAATTTTGCCCAAATATTCACTTGGATGAATTGATTAGACTTCGTCAAAGGTCAAATGTCATGATGACCTCAGAAAACACTTTTTAGCCATTACTCAAGACTTCATACAGCAATTATGACAAAATTTCACACAGATGGTTCATATTTTCTATGAGTGTAGATGAACAGGGCTGTAATCTGAAACTAGCCTGAGTGGAGGAGGCAGACAACCATGTGGAGGTGATTCCAGTTTGTTTTGTTTTTTTTTTTTTACATTAAGATCCAAACATTGCTTCCTGAGAAATTGACAAGAATGTAAAAATATTCTTCATCTCACAGTGTAAAGGAAAGTGATACAACAGTTTCTGGATCTGCCACTTTAACCAAATCCACACCTAAATTTAATGGCCCTTGCCCCCTCCCTCCACCAGGTTTGGTGCCAATCGGTACAGTACTTTTTGGGTGATGCTGCTGATTGACTGACTGACTGACTGACTGACTGACTGACAGGTGAAAACAGGAAATAAAATGATTATGGTGGTTGATATTATATTGTATTATGTTACGATTGTTGTTCCACCATATATTATCAAAGTATTAGTGTTATCACGTGCTGTATTCCTCCAAACACCAACCTGTTGAAGATTATTTATCTTGTGTTCCATGTCATCTTCTATGTTTCTGTAATGCTGGACCTGCTGAAGATACTGTGCATCAACATCGTCATGAAATGAAATTTATTATAGGAATTCTAACATCCTGCATGTTTTTCCAGGTGTGAAAGCCAAGGTGGGAAGTTCACCCTTCCTAAAGTGTGCCAGCCAGTTTCCTCTGATCCTCTGGCACCCGTACGCCCGTCACTACTACTTCTGTGTGACGACAGAGAAAGAGCAACAGAAGTGGCTTGCTGTCCTTCAGGACTGTGTTAGACACGCCAACGACGGTGAGCCCTGCCACTGATCCACACAGATTCCTCTTCCACACACATGCTTATAAATGCACTGATGGACAAAAGATATCAACGGCTTTTAGGATGAGTGGCAGTTAGACTGTTGTTGTTTTGGTCATTGGTGGATCGCTGACAAAGCAATGACAATTTCTGAGTTTATAATGATTGTGTATTGCACGAAATGTTCAGAGGCCAGAGTTCATGACATCACAAATTTCATTCTTCACTCATCATTTTTTCCCAGATCGTAGGCAAATTTGTCGTCTTTCAGACAATGTGTTTATCCAAGCAGAGAGACTCAAGAATTTGGACCAGGAGCCTTAGAGTGATGGGAGTACCAACTTCTCTGATGTCTGTGCTGTTTATCAAACATTTAACTGACATTTCTGTCAGAGTCCAGCTACAGACTGCTTCCACACTACAAGACATGGATTTACACACATTTCAACAGTGGTCTCTGCTTTGGCTTTAGCTGATAGGATTTAATAGTCTTTGATTGGCCAGTCAGAGTTCGAGAGGTGTCTCTCAGCTGAATCCATATCTCACTCACTAGAAATTGAGCACTTAGGATCACCATGGCAACCTCTGAGTGGTGAGGGACATACACAGCTGATTATGATCAGTTAATTTGACAACTTCCGTGATGTCTGTGGTGTTCCACTGACATTTGGCATCTTTTTTTCAGTTTGTCATTCTGACTGACTCCACACAGTCAGACAGGCAGGCAAATTCGGCTTTATTTAATGTTCATTTCTGGCGTTTGAAACAATGAAACTCAGCTTCAGACTTTTCTCAGCACACAACAGTGCAGTTTAGCTTCAGCTTGTCCACAAGCCAGAAATTGTATTGTCTAGTTATACTAATGCTCTAAATGAGTTCAGGATTTAATGATGTTATATGTGGCACTTTTTTAATAAGAAGGTACACAACGCTATAATTTGTTAAAACAAATTAAGATACAAGGCATGCATGTCACTAAGAAGCCGTACCCTGATGCTCTGGGGCAGGTTCAGGGGATAAATGTGGACTTTGATTTGGTGTGTGGCTGCCCAGGGCTACGAGCTGAAGGGAGTGACTCAAAGCCTCCTCACAAGTGGCTTCTAGAACAGTCTGAGGCTGAATAGCTGTGGCTCAAACGTGTTGGGTGATTGCTTGCTGTACTGCCACTGAGACATTTTGTGGAAAACATTGAATTGTATTGAGAGCAAGAATACCTTCATCCCAGAACAGGACCTTCAGATTCTGTATTCTGCACAGAAACTGTTGATTGGCGTTGATAACAGCTGTGGGTTCTTTTGCCATCATGGCACATGAAAATGAAAGTCGTCAAAGTCAAATATTCACTTGTACTCAAGGATGAACTGATTAGATTTTGGGGGTCAAAGGTCAAGGGCATGGTGACCTCACAAAACACAGTTTTGGTATTGTGAACGCGACTAAAACTAGTCTGAGCAGGCTGAGGCAGACAATCGTGAGGCGGTTATTCCAGTTGTCATATTTTTGAATTGAGGAGCAACTCAATGTTTGTGCTGTTCCAGTCCCTTTCCAATGTGAAGCCACCTTCCTGAAAGTGATGTAATGTATGCACTTTTCTTTGCACTCAGTATCTTGTATCAGAATGGTTAAGCTGGGTGGGTTGACCAAACATTTTTTTCTCTGTTGTGATAAATCGAAAGTTCTCAGTGAACATTTAACTTTATCTTATCTGTCAGTTAGATGATATACATTCTAATTCTCCAGGTACACAAAAAGTGCAAAGGCATGTGTGTTGGTTAAAACTAAGCACATCATTAAATTCAACACATGGGCAGGTGCTAAAAGGAGTGGACAGCAGTGCCAACATAGCCAACTTTTTCAAGCAAGTTGTTTCCATAGTGACACAGTCAGTAAGTCGCCCTCGCTGGGGATACAAAGGTCAGCAGTTCAAAACCCCAGATGACCGATGTCTACTTTTAGCAATAATACAGCAATTCTTACACATGCATGTGGTATATACTGAAGTCCAAATTGCCCCCAATGTAACATTGCAAAAGTAAAAAGGAGCAGTTCATTAATGCTAGGTTTAAACACAGCGCTCCTCATCCCAACAACAACAGTCCTGTGCAGCAGTCTTCTGGACTTCATGTAAGTATTGTAAGTGATTGTGTGGCAGCAGGTGGGACATGACCTTGGTTGTACTTGATAACCTGCTCAAAGGTGAAGCTGCTTCATAAGTCTAATCAACTCTGACTAAAGAAGTAAACATACAGCTAGCATCTCATGTGTTCCTTTATGACTGTGCTGTCCACTAAGCTACTGTTGTCTGTGACAGGCTAATGCTGGCTAGCTAAAAGCACAAAGTCTAAGAAATAAAGTATGATTTTGATGTAATCTCTGACATAGCAATAATAATAGTTTAAGGAGTCCACAAGTGAGCACATTACTGCGGATACTCAGCTGTATATATAGCTGCTACAGTAATAGGTGAATGTGAAACTGGCACAGGACTGAAAGCAGAAAGAATAAATACACGATGGCATCATGCCATGACTTATATACCTGGTTGCCATGGCTCTCAGGTCAGATTAGCATTGTGCAAGAGGTAGGAGCCATGAAAAACCTGTGACTTACAACAGAAGCTTTGTTCTAACTTCACCTCTGCTGTTTACTCTCACAAAGTGTTCATTAACTGACAGCTGCTGCATTTTTTTCACCAGACCTGCACAAACACTATCAGACACAGTCTGTACTTATTTTAAGGTGGAAATGGAAACTGACAAATGTGTTTTCGGGAATGTGAGTGGTGTGCTTTTAATAAATTAGTAATTACAGTGTAGATCTGTACAGCTTTGCAAACTGTTTGTATTTGAGGTATACACAGACAAAACTAGTGGAACTTCCTAAAGTTCAGACTGATTAAGGACGTGTTGGACATCCAACAATCAGGACACTTGTATAAAATATATAACCCTTGGTCTACGACTCCTGAATAACCATCTCATAGAACCTGGACATTAAAGTCACTCCAGCTTTCTTAAAAAGTGGTTATGGGTAACAAGGTTTAAAAAGTGATAAAGTGGTGGACAGCGCTATTGTGATTTATGAGGTGTAAAAAACATTCAGTCAGGTGAGTCAGTTAAGTGGAATCAAAGATGGAGCATGATATATACCTCGCTCACCAGCCGTGGTGCTTCTCAGCAGTGAGTTCAGTGCTGCCACTGGTGGCTAGAAGCCATATTTTAGAACAGTGGTCCCCAACCACTGGGCCATGGACCAGTACCGGGCCGCACGAAAGAACAAATTACCTTTTGTTTTTGTTTGTTTTTTTTAATTGATAAAATGCAACAGTTGCCTGATAATAGGTGATTATTATCATACAGGCCATTTGTGCAGTAATTACAGGCCTACTGAACTTGTTGCAGTGCTGTGAGAGAATTCTCTGATTTCCTGGTTGGGATTACTTTCCATGTTGACATGGACCGTGAGCCTGTTGTGCTGCTGCTGGAGTCGAAGAACCTGGATGAATTACCTCAGATTGACTCGTTTCTCATACTCCATTTCCCATGATGCAGCTCAAAACACAGCCACTGCTGATGTTCTGTCAAGAGCACCAAAAATACTGCAGTGAGGGGTGGCCAGACAGATGCATGACGAGTCCACAGTAGAAAAGGGAACACTGCTTAAGACACCCACCTGTCACTCACAGAGGCCACGCCCTCAATTACATATAACATTAAGCCTTAATAAAATGTAAACAGGTGAGTTATATAAACAGTTGTCATGAAGGAGGAAATTAGCTCTAGAGACCAGAACTGTTTTTGTACCAGGCTGATTGGACATTTTAACATGGGAGTCTATGGGCTGGGCTCAAGTGGTCATTAGAGGAACTGCAGTTTTTGACACATCGGTGTTGGCTTCATTTTTCAGCCTCAGAGGTGCCGCATGGTTACAAATAGTAAAGGCCAATAAAACGTCCATACATTTTCAGTCATAAAACCTTAATATGAAAACCAGGAAAGCACACAAAGTTGTGCAGTTGAACAAATTAAAACAAGTGGATTTTAAGATTTTCATTTGCTCCCTAATTTCTCACCAGTGCAGGGAATTGATTGGAGGGCTGTGTGAGTTGTGAGGGCAGGTACTGTGAAGAACCTGAAAGAGGAAACACCACCAATAGTCAACATGCCTGAGCTGTGACACAGGCCAGCTGTGACGTATGAGCAGCTGAATGATTCCATATGTTCTCTGTGTACCACACAAAGCACTTCGACCTGCTCTGACTTTTAACAGCTCTGTTAAACAAGGTGTGAGAGCACCAGTCACAAATCATTCTTTTTCACACGGGGGGTTCTGTTAGGGGGTTTTCACATATAGCCTAGTCCCAGTCCACTGAAGCTTCTGCTACACTGTACACAGACAGAAACATCAGATAGTCTGGAGTGATGAGGAAATGGTCACGTTCCTGAAATGAATACATGAAAGAAACAGAAATGTTTGAGGCTTGAATGTCAGTCATCTTTCATCTTGTTACGCACTCTTCAGCTACAGTGGCATAATGAGACCTGATTGGAAAATTAGCACCATCAGCTGTTTATCCCATTAAAAAAAACTCCTGATACTCACATAATGGTAGTGGATGGAAACGTGCATTGACATGCAGTCCTTCTGTCAGTAGCTTGTATCTCGAGTGTAGGAGTTTGTTTTTCCATGCTGAAAACACAGTTTACACCTTGACACATAATCCAATCCAATTTTATTTATAAAGCACTTTTAAAAACAACACTGTTGACCAAAGTGCTGTACAATAACAATAAAATACAAGAAAGACATAAAACACAAGCAGAAAATCTCACATTAAAAGTACAAAAAGACATAAAACAACAGTTAACCAATAAAAGGCAAGAAGCGAAAGAAAAGAGGTGTGTTTTAAGAAGAGATTTACAGACAGGCAGTGAAGAGGCCTGACGTGTAAAGGCAACTCGTTCCAGAGATTGGGAGCCACAACTGCAAACGCCCGATCCCCTCTGACTTTCAATCTAGTTATTGGGACCACTAAGAGAAAGCTGATCAGCAGACCTGAGAGACCGCGAAGGTACATAAGGTTGAAGCAGGTCAGAGAGATAGGATGGAGCAAGACCATTCAGGGATCTATAAGCGAACAAAAGCATTTTTAAACTGATCCTGAAGCGCACAGAGAGCCAATGGAGGGAGGCTAGAATGGGGGAGATGTGCTCTCACTTATGTGCTCCAATTAAAAGACGAGCAGCAGCATTTTTAACCAACTGCAATCGTGAGAGGGAAGTCTGGCTAACCCCAACATAGAGAGCATTGCAGTAGTCCAGGCGGGTTGTAATCAAGGCATGTGTCACCTTTTCAAAGTCCTGCTTCGACAGAACAGACTTGACCTTGGATAACTGCCTCAATTGAAAATCACTTTTTGCCTCAGTTTAAAATCACTGTCCATTTTCACACCCAGATTTGTAACTGTGGGTTTTAAATAAGGTGCCAAAGAACCCAGGTTCAGAGGAGGGGTATCAGGGGTACCACCGGATTGCTTCAGTTTTCTTTTCATTGAAATTAAAAAAAACTTGATGCCATCCACGCTTTGAAGTCGTTGAGACACTCACGGTTTGACAGAGTACGCATCTTTCTCCCTCAGGGGTACATAAATTTGACTGTCATCCACATAACACTCACCCTAAATTAAATGCTAACCGCTAATAGCTGCTATTTTCATCCCAGGTTTGTCGGAGGAGGATAAAGTCCAAACGCCGGCCTTCACTGACGCAGTACGACTCTACCGCCAAGCTCAAGGGCACTATGGCAGCTGGGAAATGATGTGTGGTGCACCATCACAGGTAAGCATGGCCGTAGCAACAAGTTGTCCCTCTCCTGGGATCTGCCTTTTCTTTTTAAATTGAAACAAAGTCGTACAGCTGGTGAAATACACCAGGCATTGGTTCAGTGTTTTAGTGGTTAGAGCTTTTTACTTGACTCCAACATGATTCATGTAAACACGAGTTACATTAATCCGGTTATGTAAACACATTCTCCACATTCCTACCTTAACTTGATTTCTCCTAGTAACGTGATTTTTTGTGTTAATGTAAAAATGGTGAGACTATTTACTTCCTGTTAAGTGTTTCCACTTCAGACCTATTCATTCTCGGTGTGCTTTGAAGGGCAGTTAAAAAGCTGACCCAGGTTTCTACACCTCTGGTACTGAACAGGACTATTTATATTATTTTAAACATGAGAGATTTTCCTCTTTAATGGCAGATGTTAAAATAAATCTTAAATTGATTAATTGTTTTTTGTGTTGTTATTACCAGCAAAAAATATTTGAAGGAAGTAGGACTACCTTAAGAACTGACAGTCGGTAATATTGAAGTATTTAGTGGTTTTTGGCTGGTGTGAATTTCCCACCCTGAAATTCCTCTGACATGGTTAGTGAGCTGACTTTTCAACAGAACCTGTGTTCTCCATTCATCTACTGTGAATAGCTTCTTTTTATATTGGAGTCGGCCTGCGAAGCTGTGAAGGCATTAAATGTGTGGGAACACTATTGTCAGGCAATACATTGTAAATGTAGTTTTACATCTCCTCTCTCAGGCTTCTCTCTGGAGCTCTATAAACAACAGGTCGGTGAGCCAATCAGAAGAGAGGAGGGTCTGATCCTCTCTTCTGATTGGCTGACTGTTTTCTGAGTGATCCATTTTAAATAAAACAGAAGAAGAGGAAAATATCACAGTATTTATTCCTCAGTGCTAATTCCTGTCTGGTAATTTATCCAGTTGCACCACATGTATACAGAATATCACCATCATGACATAAAATTACATATACTGTGTTGTCAATATCACCCACCCACCCACCCTTAGCGCACACCATATGTTTTTAACAGTGGTGTTCACCCAACATCACAAATTACAGAAAATTGTCTGTTTAAGGAGGAGTTGAGGTTTTAGTGTATTGTTCAGTGCTTCTAGCTGGGATCAGATGTAGGCTGAGTATTGGATTGGATCCATTGTGAGTGCAACATTAGCACAATCAGGCAGAGGATGCATGAACTGTAGTTACCCAGTGGAACGCAGGCACAGGGAGAACATGCAGTCTCCACACACAGTTGAGACGGTGCTAACCACTACACCACTGTGCCACCATTGAACTAAATATGTGGTGAATAAAAACCCTTGTTGTTGCCCTATGATTCCATGCATTTGGTCTGCAATGACCTAATACAAGCAGACATTAAAGAAATAGGAATCTTGGTGTGCGCAGAACAGAAGATGAACTATTATCTATCATGAAGAACTTGTGAAGAACCAGCAAGCATATCGTGAGTGTAGTCTCATGTGTCTCACGGAGACCTGGTTAAATGACAACACTCCCGATCTGTTCATTGTGTGGATTTACCCGGCTTCACTGCAGTACGAGCGGACAGAGACGCCACTGAGGCAGGCTGCAACCACCCGCTCATCCAGGAACTGGGCCCTGGAGGCCAGTGAGTGTCTAAAGGACTGTTTTGACACTGTAATACCAGCAAGGACTGTACACTGCTTTCCAAACAACAAACCCTGGAACACCAGTAACATCAAGACCCTCCTCAACCGGGAAAAGGAGGCCTTCAGGGATTGAGACAGGGAGAAGCTCAGGTCTCCATGAAACACATGAGACTACACTCAGGATATGCTCGCTGGTTCTTCACAAGTGCCTCCAGTTCATCACACTTGTTAGCCAGGGAGTTGACATTTCCCATGAGGATCGATGGTAGAAAAGGCTCCATCTGCTAGCCTTTAGCTTAGCCCCGGCTCTGCATCCACGGTACAGCTTCTTCAGCTCAGCTGGTATGGGATGTTTAATTCCCAGTCTGGTAAACTTTAAAGCCAGGAATCGACAAAAAATATACTAATATGTGCTACTGCCACTTGTTGCCAGCACATCATTAAAAAAAAAAAAAAGGTAGTAATCAAGAAATAATGAAATTCCAAATTTTGCACAAACATTCACTTGGACTCAATGATGAACCGATTAGAGTTGTGTGGTCAAAGGTCAAGGTAAGTGTGACGTCACAAAACACTTTTAGCCATTACTCAAGACTTCACTCAGCAATTATGACCAAATTTCACACAAATGGTTCATATTTTATTTGACTGGATAAACAGGGATGTAACCTGGAACTAGTCTGAGTGGAGGAGGGATACGACTATGAGGAGGTGATTCTAGTTCTATCTATCCATTGAGAGTCCGACAGTGTTATAGGAGAATTCATGTGGAATGAGATAGCAGTGATTGTCTCTCCATTGTAACACTGAAAACATTATACTCATTTCATGCATTTTCTTCTCCTTGATAAATTAGTTTTATTTGATGCTGAGCAGATGGGCTCACCACTGCAAACTTGGTGTGGAGTTTCTGGAGGCTGGACGGTCAGTGGTTAAAAGATGAAATTCAGTGCATTGTTTTTTGGGATGTCTAACATTAGACTGAACCCCAGGAACAAGCCGGAGAGAAACTGAAGCACGGTGCTCCAACTACTAATTTGAAAAATTGAAAATTGAAAGACACTCTAGTTATACCTATTCATTAAGTTGATGTGGTGAGTGAGATGATCGTGATTGTGATGAGTTGTGTGTGTCGGTTTCTCCTTGTAGATCCTGTCTAACCTGGTGATGGAGGGTCTCCTTCCTGAGCTGCGGGAGCTCATCTCACCCCGCCTCAAAGGCAAACTACACGAGAGGCAGAGGAACTGGATGCTGGTAAGAAGCGACTTCACACACACACTACACTAAATAAAGGAATGTAAATATTTGTAATTTTAACTCAACAGCTGATGTTTTATATCTTTAATATGTTACTCACATAAATTCCAAGAAATATCAAATAAAGAATCCTATTAAATTAAATTTACCTTTTTTATATTTTTATCCTTCACAGGGTACAAAAGCATCAGAAACAGCATTTAGGAAACAGGACAGTAAATAGTTAAAAATAAATATACTCCAGTGCACAGTTTTATTGATTAATTCATATAAAGTAAATTTTGATTCATACATGTCACATGACAGACTTTGTTGACTGTGTACAGGACTTGATTTTTTTATTTTTTTATTTTGTAAAAACAAAAAAAAAAAAAAAAATCCTTTTGAATCCTGCTGCAGAGACAGACAGGTTGATGAGACTAGTGTGATCAACTCCAAATAGAAACACCAAGTACTGCAGAGGTGGAAATGTGGTTCATTTACATTGAGTGTGTGTGTGTTGGCTGTGTGTGTAGATCAGTGATGCGGTTTACAGCCTGGTGCAGGAGCAGTGCCAGACCCAGTATGAGGCACTGCTGCAGAAGTGTGGGGCGGCCCGCTCCTCTCTAGACGCCTCCATACGAACAGACATGGACCAGATCATCACATCTAAGGAGCATGTCACCAACAAGATCAGGGGTCAGTGAGAGAGCGGCCATTTTTAATACTGAAATATTGTTTTTTTTTTTTTTCATTTCATCTTTTTAGACTTTGTGTGATGGTCTGAATTATCACATCATTCTTTACTGCTAAATAAAATGTGTGTATGTGTGAAGTGTGCTCCCAGAGTGATGACAGACTGATAGGCTACTCTTGTGTGCTGCAGGAGTTTTGTATGACTGGATGTATGTGTTCTTAGATTGATGAATGCCAATCTCCTCGTAAATGGAAAGTGTGCGCCAGTTGGCCCTAACTAGCATAGGTAACGCCCGAAAATGCCCTTAAAAGGGCGTGAGACTGACGGGTCATGTGCAGACTCAGACAGAAGTCACAAAGAGATACCGTAAGGAAAGTTGAGAAAATGCCAAAACAAAAATCTAAAGACGGAGCACCGGAATCAAAACGCAAAAGGAAGTGAGACTGCAGGAAGTGAGACAAAAACGAGTGGTTAAGTGTTAATGTAGTGCTCATTTATTTTAAAAGACCATAATGCTTTATGAAATAACCAATGTTTTTTTTCTTTAAATTATAAATGACAAAAATATTATTGTAATTTAAATGATATAATATTATATAACTGTAGACCGGAAGAAAACGCAGTCAACACTTATTTTGCTCAAACCCGTCAGCACTCAAAGGAGCGTAAGAGTGCTCTTGAGTGTGCGTACATTCTGTTCTCACCTGAGAACAAATCCCAAATAAGAAAAAATTGGTGAATGTCAGAATCTTCGTAAAAACGTACGTAAGTTGTTTTTAAGAAGAAATTTGTTCTCAATAATGGTTGGAGAATGAGGCCCATTGTTTATGTGTTGGAAGATGTCAGCTGCAGCCATGTTGGAATGGCTGTATGGAAGGAATCCCAGAAACGTAACATGTAATACATAGAATAACATGTAAGTGCCATTAAAGCCACCAAATAAAACACTGCACCATATAAAGTACAAGTGTGAATTCAAATTGTATAAAAATATCTGATATAGAATCTGGCCCATAGCATTTATATTTAGGATTATACTTGCTGAGGGAAATGATTTGTTATGTTTAATTACCAGCTTTTACCATCAAAGTGGCTCAACCCTGAAGGAGAGGTTTGTTTGTGGTTTGTCCCAATATGTAAACCTCCATCTCCCCCCACAGCGGTGGTTCTCCCCAAAGCCGAGAAGCTGTTGAAGGTGAGCATCCAGCCCTACATCAGCTCCATCCTGGACGCCCTGATGGAACCGACCAGCAGAGGCTTCTCTGAGGTCCGCGAGGTGTTCTTCAGAGAGCTGGTGGACATGAGCAAGAACACCCTCAATGATGGCACCAAGGAGACCATAGCACAGGTAGAGAGGTAGAAGAGCAGGTTCAGGATGAGGTCCTGGTGTGTGTTGAGAGCCGGTGACAGCAGCATGATTGATGTGCAGGTGCTCAGACCTTTCAAAGATTTTAGCTGTGTGAACCGGTATCAAATGTCCAGTCATTTGAAGTTGGTGTAACTATGAAATCATGACTGTTTCAATAGTCCAGTAAGGCTTGTGATTTTTATGGTTTTGTGGTTTTTGAACAAGTAAACATCTCGTCCATCCCTCCCTCCCTCCCTCGCTCCCTCCCTCCCTCCCTCCTCCTCAGCACATGGAGAAGATCTCCATGCTGGCCTTCCATCCGGTGAAGATGCACAGCTGCTATGAGAAGGTGGAGCACCTGAGTCTGGAAGGTCTGCAGCAGAGGTTTGATGTGTCCAGCCCCTCAGTGTTCACCCAGAGGGCCCAGATCCTCATGAGAGAGGTGAGACTCAGAAACTGCAACTACGACACAGTCTAGTTTACAGAATGGCTTTTAAAGAGTGCACTGTGTTGATCCACAGTTAAGTGACAATTCTCTTATTTTCATAGTTTTGTTCATCATTTCTATCCATTATGATAAGTTTGTGCACAGTGTGCATGGAGCAGGATCCTGGATGATATCATATATTACCGCTGTTTAAATTTTTTAAATGTCATTTTTCCGTGATGAGTCTTTGTTGTGTTGGGGTCAATGCAGAAATTGTTAGACAGGGGTCTAACAATCCTTTACAGTTAGGAACAAAACTATCTTTGTTCTTCCATTAGATCTGTTAAAGTCATTTTTTGTAATTTCGATGAACTGTTTTTGAAGACTAGCCTGAGGCGGACATATAGTGTTTTTTGATTTAATTTATTCTTTTGTTTAGTTAAGATTTAAGTAAAATGCTAATGTAATGTGATGACAAAGAATGTTGTTTGCATGTGTAAGCAAACACAGCTACTGTTAACTCCTCTGATATAAAGGCCAGGGCTGTGAAATATTTGTGTCAATCCTCCATGTGTGCAGACTTGTGCACATGAATCTCAGTCTCAGGAAAGAAAGCCGAGAGACAAGCACTCTGGCATTTAGCTCCCCCTTGGACAAATTATTTATCCTGACCTCTGAGGGAGGGGGAGGGGGAGTGTGTGTGTGTGTGTGTGTGTGTGTGTGTGTGGGGGGGGGGTCATTCAGAGTTCAAGTACCGTTTAAAAACCACATACACAAGTCCAGCCAGTGTAGAAGCTGTTCTGGAGTACATGTTTGAAACGCTCAAGGTCCTGGATGTTTAGGATTTCAACATCAAGGATTTTTCCTGTTTCCAAGGTCAACAATGAACTTTCAGTCTCAACTTGAAAATGTAAGAGAATAATGACACAAATGATCACCCCCCCCACCACCACCACCACCCCCGCCAGTGAAATCAATGTACTAGTGTATCTAGTGTCAGACCAGAGTGAAAGACCTGTCATGACATGTAATGAACTTTGAGTCCAGTTCCAGTCAGTCGAGGCTTTCAGAAACCAGAAGCACGTTTAACATGTAAATGAGTGTATCTTACAACAGAAGCAGACTTTCCAGTGGTGTCAGATACAGTGATGTCATTCATTTCCTGGTCAGTTTACTGAGCTGTGGCTTCCTTCTCGTTTGTGAAGGGATTGGACGAGGTTCAGCTTGTGCTGACACTGTAGAAAGGTGAACGCCCTCTAGTGGTGGTTTAGTATGAGACAGAGATAGCGGGACTGGGTGCAGGGCAGACATTCCTACACACAGTCCATCTGTCAGTTTGTCCAAATTTACATGTTACAAAGTTTATTGCTCTAAAAACATGTTACTGAAAAAAACCCAAATCCATGCTTATTTTTCAGTTACCTATCAATAATAATATGATAATATAATAAATATGATAAAACTTACTGATATATTTGAATATGGTCTCTGAAATGTAACAGATTGGCCTCTCTCTCTGTGTGTGTGTGCTGTGTGTGTGTGTGTGTGTGTGTGTGTGTGTGTGTGTGTGTGTGTGTGTGTGTGTGTGTCCACAGCAAATGGACGATGCAGTCTATACGTTTGAGCAGATCCTTCACCAGAGTCTGGAGTCTCAGGGCACAGAGGAGCTCTGCAAGACCATCCAGCGCTGCCAGGACCGAGTCATCAAGGTAAAACCAAACACAACAGGATGAACACCGAAACCAAGAAACCTTTGGGAAGTGACTACAACCCTATGACTTGTCATCGTAGGAAAAGCACAGGTGTTACTAATAACATTAACAATGTACACAATACCAACACCCTGGAATTCAGTCATCGTTCACTTTATTATCTACACTTGTGCTTTCCTTACTGTCGCATGTCAAAATGTCTTTGTTGAAAAAGATCTAAATAGTAAACACTGTGGCTGTCTGAAACATAGTTACTGTCCACCATTGTCTGAACTCTGTGTGGAGATTTATTCTGTAAAATAGTTCTCTCTACAGTTACATTATGTTAGTGATGATGATGATGTATTGGTGTCCAGAATCTCAGTTTGCTGCTCACTGTAGAGAAAACAACTGAGTGTGTTTTACAGACACAAGTGAGGGAGTGATGTCTCATCTAATGATGCGCTGTGTAGTGAGGAAGTCGTAGTTCTCACATCCTTTACTTTAAATACTCTCATTAACAGTTAAATCCTACATTCAGAGGTATCACTAGCTAAGTACTTGCTGTGTGTCTGATGTATTATTATATTATTATATCTGACACAGGCAGATGAACTGTCTGGTGATCAACTTGTCAACTTACTGTTTATTTCACCTCTAACTATGAGTTTGTTCATACAGATGCATCAACACATATTTAGCATGTTACTGTTGGAGCTGGTGAGGTGGAGCTAATTTGACACAGTTGTTGAGTTCAGAGGTTCCAGACTGAGATTCATAAAATAACTGTGAGATGATTTAAAAAAAACAAAAAAAAAACAAAGTTGTCCAGCACACATTTGTTTCCATCTTTATTTTGGACAACAAATGAAATGTCAAACTTTTAATGCGATGAGGTGCACGAGGCAGACACCGAACCAAACATGTAGAGAACCAACGGGATCATCTTTAATAATGTATTTTATTATCTTATACATATGTTATATTTTAACCTAAAATCTGGGTAACTATGTCTGTCAATTAAATGTACTGTAGTGGAGTAATGTTTCATAAGAGGAAATGTGATCTTTTAAATTTAGTTTTGGAAGGAAGTGAACTTATGTAAAAAAACTGTGTGTGCTAATAATGCTTATCCCTGTTTTTCTTTTTCTTCTTTTGTCTTTTGTTGGTTCAGAAATTTGACTATGACAGCAGCACAGTGAGGAAGCGCTTCTTCCGCGAGGCTCTGCTTCAGATCTTCATCCCCTACATGCTGAAGCAGCTCAGCCCTTCCTGTGCTTCGGTGAGAGCCACAGCACTTCATGTCACCAAAAAATATATTCCTTCATTTCTGTGCTCCATCCTTTGAAAGTCACGGGGGAAAATATCCTAAATGTTTTGGCAGTGATGTTTCTGTATTATGTGCGCTTAGCAGTGTTACATAGAGCCCTACTGATACAGGATTTTTAAGGCTAACTAATTTAGCAGCAGATAAGTTGCAGGCATGTGTTTGACAGTGGTGGTCATGGGTGTACTGACGAGGGAGAAAATCATTTACTCACTGGAGTCGTCTTATTGGCCACGTTATCACTGTGCTGTTGAGTGACACGACCGCTGTCAGGCTTACTGAGGTTACGCAGAGGAGTCACGGATTACACATGAAAATAGGCACCTTACCAATGAAGACACAGATTCACAAACACAGACCCCATCCTGCTCTGTAGCGTCCACAGCAGTGGAGCTGGATAGTTTCCTTTGGCTGCTCGTGACTTTAATTTCTTGTTTGTCCGTAGATATCGAGTTATCTAAAATGAGCTGGTTTTGTATTTTTCATCTAGCTATACATGAAGAAGGTGTAACAACATGTAATACTACTGTGTGCCTGACAGTGTACTAAGTGTAGATAACTCTCTTGACCTGTATTGACAAAACCTACCACTAAAAATGAGTAGCTCCCTGAGTAAGACAAACCCTGAAGCCGGTGAGGACGTTTAGAAAGATGTTGAGTTAAGAAAAAAGTGAGTAGTTGTTGTTGTTGTTGTTGTTGTGAACACCAGGAGCTGCCGCGCTTCCAGGAGCTGATCTTTGAAGACTTCTCCCGTTTCATCCTGGTGGAGAACATCTTTGAGGAGGTGGTGCTGCACTCAGCCATGAAGGACATCATGATGGGTCAGTCTCCTACAGTGTCTCTTTCTACACGCACATAGTTCATTATATTTTTCTAGTTCATATATATTATTCGAACCTGTAGATGCATTTAACTCAGACTCAAACTTGCTAATGTGGTCGGAGCAGGAGCGTGGGAGCGTTTTATGTTCTACAGTGTGAAAAATCTACAGTTCGTTGAGTCGCTGCAGCAGGACTGATGTGCTGATAAACCCACATCCTCTGATTGGAGAAGTCCACTGCGATTACCTTCATACAGTCACGTGCTACTAAATAACCACACACACCTCTGCACACAAACGGCTCTTTTATAACTTGAATGCCAGTTAATGCAGGAGAGTGATTAGCTGGGCTCATTAATGCCGTGCATCATAAGCTCATTTCCAACTTCTTTATGCAGCTTCTCAGCGTTCATGTTTTCTTCTTTCAGTGTGTTGTGGTACGAGCAAACACATAAGATGCTTTACCAAAATCTTTTTTTCATTATTTACTTTTTTTCTATGTAAAACCAGCTGTTTAAATTGTAACCATGACAACAAAGATTGTCTAATGTTGAGAAAGTACTTATTTTAACACAAACAAACAATCTTTTCCTAACCTAAACAAGCCATGACCATGTCTGGCTCGCCTGCCGCTGCGGGGGCTCCTGTGGGTCGTATCAGAGGGTTGGTGGAATTTAGTCCTTTCTTGGAGACGTCCTAAGAAATGAAGGTTACACTTTGTTTGGGTGGTTCACCTCCAGAGTGTTCAGAGCATCTTTGAACATATGAGCTCCTTCCCAGGGTTTTTCAGACAATCACCACACCACTGAGGACAGGACAATCACACATCTAGAATCCAAGAACCACTCGTAGTTTTACACTTTCAGATGTTTCTTTGTGACTCATCATGTTGATGCACATTTTAATCTCTTATCTCTGCCTGTAGCTGTGAAGGAGGCGGCGGTCCAGAGGAGACACAACCTGTACAGGGACAGCATTGTCCTCAGCAACAGCGACCCCAGCCTGCACCTACTGGGAGAAAACCCTTCCATCGACTGGGCTAAAGAACACGGAGGAGCCAAGGAGGAGGTGGATGGAGCAGGGGAGGACAGTGAGGGGGGCGACGAGAGTGAAGGTGGGGATTCCCAGAAGAAGAGAAGGATGAAGCAGGTTGTGTCCATGATTCAGGTGGAAGACTCCCCGGTCCTGTCCACCGAGTCGTGCATGGAGGTGCCCTGCAATGATGACATCCCAGAGAGAGATGAGGAGGAGGAAGAGAAGGAAGGAGATGGGGAGGAGAGCTCAGATGGTAAAGCTTCTCCTGACCAGAATGGATCCGCTAGTCCCAGAGCTTCAGAGAACTCAGGCCTGTCAAACGGCTCTGTGTTGAAGGAAGAGGAGGCCAGAGCGGAGGAGCAGGTTAAAGAAATCCCGCTGAAGGTCGAGTCTGCTACAGCAGGTGCTTCGGCCTCAGAGGAGGAGGAGAAGAAGGGAGAAGACAGACAGCTGGTGCTGGAAGAACAACCGCCCACCAACCAGGAGGTGTCAGAGGAGGCGTTGCCCCCAGCGCCTGGAGCTACAGACACAGCTCGAGAGAACCCTCCGGAGGTGACCGCTGACTTCCCTCCACCTCCCCATGATGACAGCGGTTTCCAGTCTCCCACCAGTGAAGGAGCAGAGGAGGAGGAGGAGGAAGCGGCAGCCCCTTGCACAGTGGCCCCTCCACCAGCAGAGGAGCACCTTGAGGTGAAGGAGACAAGTACCACCATTACACCAGAAGCTGAAGCCAAAACCATTGACTCCAAGACCAGTGACCAGTGATGAAACTGTTTCCATTTGTTTGACTGAAACTGAATCCCACCCTGTTTTTGTTTCTTTTTTTGATGAACATGAAAAAAAAAAAACACTTGATGCTGTTTGAACCACATCAGTTTCCCTTTTCCACGAGTTTCAGACATGTAATCACTCAGCAGATTATTCTCACCGAGCAGGGCTCAGGTACTGTCCTCCTTTTTTATTCATATTGTTTTTTTGTTTGTAATTTTCACAATTTTGGATCTGACAGAAAAATGCTCAGCAAACTCTGACCTGTCGGTCCTCATAAGTTCTCTTCACCTGGTATGAATGTGAGCACAGTGGACGACCTCACGTCCCTGATGGTTCTAAACGTGACACGAACAGCCAAGCTGAGATGCCTTTGGTGAAAGAGGTGACTGATACGTTTGTGGCCTAAGGTAGAAGGAGATGAGTTAATTCAGCTCTGATTATATACACGTGCAGAGTGATTATGCAGGAAGGTTAAAGTTCATAACTTTTGTGGTGTTTCTGTTTCAGCTGATTGTAGATTGGAAGTGTTGTGTCGGTGTAAACTCACTGGGGTGAGGATCATCTTGAACCAAGTGTGACAAAAAAAAAAACAAACAAAGAAAAAAAACAGGACACATGTTGGTTGTTATTAAACCTGATGAGCCAACAGACGAACTTTGCAGACTTCAATCATAAATCATCATCTTATCTGTCTTGATGTTCACGCTGACGTCTCAAGACTTGACCATTTCTCTTGCATTGGTGGGAGTAAAACTATTTTATATGAGTTTATCCCTTAACAAAGATATTTTATGTAAATATATGAACCGCTGAACTACCAAACTATCATTTTACATAATTTTATATAATTTTATCAGTGCCGTTACTGATCTCTCCAACCCCTGTTTTATTTATTATTTTGCACCCCCCCCTTTTTTTGACCAATTTACTTTAAGATATATTTTATTGTCGTTTAGAAATGACTGTTATTCATAATAAATCATTATTGATGAAATATTATCATTTTGTCTTGATGGTTTTTGTTGTTACTGAATGAATGACAGGTGTACTGATACTGTTTCCTCACATGTACCTACACATTGCATGGCGCCGGTGGAGCAGTTCACTCTTCAACACGGCTCTTCAGAAACCCGTGGGTGACGTCACAGAGGCACTTCCTTATTTACAGTCCGTGAGTCGAACCAGTGTAGGTGTTATGATGTGCGCATACTGGCAGGGGCATCTAAATGGAATAGAAATATTCTGACTGATGGGCTATTAGACATACAGCTGTGTGCAGCAGTGCTGGAGCATTTAGATCTTTTACAAAAAAAGCAGCACACCTACTAAAAGCAGGGCACCTACGGAGTGCACTGTATTACGCCGCAGTCACAGGTCAGCTGAGTGAATCAGAAAGCGGCGTAATACAGTGCACTGTAGGTGCGCTTGTATGTAGGAATACAGTAGTTCAGCGGTTGAAAAATGTAGTGCCAAAAGGAAAGTGCTGTTCATGGGAAGGAAAACCGCTGAATATATTCTACATGAAGTGTGTGTTTAAACGGATATTGGATTGTTTCGGTGGGCGTCTTTAGATGGAACCAGCAGGAGGGGGAAAGACAGTACCACAGCCTGGTTGGATTTCAGTAGTCAAGGAGAAGAGGGTGCCCAAAAATTAAGAGCTGATCTGAAAGGCAGAGAACAATGGGAGACGGAGAAGAAGTGGAAGGTTATAATTATGGTTGAGAGGGAGATGGAGCTACTTTTTTAGGGCATCTTTGCCTTTATTCTGATAGTGATAGTGAAGGAGAGCAAGAATTGGCCAGACCACTGACTGGGAACCGGGAGAAGATGTTGGCTGCTCCCAACTCAGGAACAGCCTCAGGAGCTGATGAAATATAAGCCGGGACACCCACCTCAGGAACAAGCATGGCAAGGGTCGTCTCAGAAACACATAGGACATTGGCTGGGACACGAGACTCGAAAAAAAATAGACAACATGCCAGCCGGTATGAAGTAGACAGGATATCAGAAGAAACATCAGCAGAGACCCCCGTTACTAGAACAGGCAAGGCGTCGGCCAGGGTGGTTGACTCAGGAGCAGAAGAGACATCAACTGGGACCCGTCAAAACAATAACAAATGACGGCTTTGGATGATGACATGAAATAGCGTGGGGTCATGGGAGTCGTTGTCTTCACCACCATTACCGTAAGCTCCTCCA